AAAAAAAAAATTCCACATTTTTATTTTTCGCTCATTTTGCTGGCATGAATTAGCAATTTTTTCGCATATTGTACTTACTATCAGCACCAGCACTAGCGCCACAATAATATATTTCATCTTTATAGCGCGGTGTTCTCACGTTTTATGTTGCCGCTGCGCAGATTTGCCAAGTATTATTAAACAATATTTTGCTTTTTAGCACTGAACGATTTGTTTTTATTTTTAGTATTTTTGTTTTTCATGTAATATCAGTATAATTTACTGGCGCTAGTAGCTTTTTCTTACTGTCGCGTGGCTTGCCGTCCATACGGTTGGATGCTCACTGGGTTCGAGTGTCGTTTTGCTACTACAGAACACTCTACAACGTTTGTATAATTATTTCGATAAAAATTATGTTTTATACTATATGTATATTGATAAAGTCACAATTTCCATATATGTACACTTATATACGTACAAACTTATGTATGCACATACTATGCGTGCACAAACAACAAAACAGCAGCATCAGCATGGAGGAAGTGACGTACAGAAAGGATGTAGCTTATCGCATTGAGTTCCAATTCAGAAAACATTGCCTACATTCCTCTCTCAAATAAATATTTTTCCATATTATTTTTTTGCCATGCATATGTATGTGCGCCATTAACCATTAATTAAACTAAAATTTTACTGCATAGCTTTTTAAGTTACTGTATTTTGTGTTTTAAGTGCTTGAGTGTGTATTTACAATTAATAAAAATTGAGGAAAAAACATTAAAATACTGCTCTCTTTTCATCCTCATTAACCATTTTAAACAATTACTAACCAAATTTCAATTCATTTGTGTGAAAGTGCAATTTATTTATTTTTGTATGGAGAGTTCAAGTCGACTTTCTTATGTAAGTGTGTCTCGAAGTATGTGTTGCATTGGTTTTAGCTTTGATTTCAAAAAAATATTTTAAATCCATATCTATTTCCTTATGTGCCTCCACTTTAGATTTGCCCGCAAATGCCTTTTATTTTCTCGCATACGAGTATATACAAGATAAGGCCAAAGAGCAGACTGGCAGCGAAAAGGTCAGCGTTGCGTCAACGATTTTTGCTGGTGGCGCCGCTGGTATAGCTTATTGGTTGGTCGGTATGCCAGCCGATGTGCTTAAGAGCAGGCTACAAACGGGTATGTAAAAAATTGATTAATTTTTTTTTTTTTTACTATAGATACATACATATCGTCGTTTAAAGTACAAAACCGCGTATCAACAAAATGAAAAGCCGCATATATAAGGTTGCATAAATTATTTTCTAGATAGTAAAAACACTCATATTTCAAAATGTTTTTTTTTTTTTGTAAATAAATCGCATTTCTGGCTAGTATATTTCAGGACGAATGGATAAGGATTGAGCCAAGAGCTTGTGTGAGTAAATCCAATTTTTGAAAAAAAAAATTCAGTTACGCAGTTTTGCAGAACGACGAGACGCGGTTTTGTACTTTAAACGACGATATGTACATATGTACGTACATATATACATACTTACATATCGTTACCTTAATATAGAAAGGCAGAGAAATTACGGTTACGGGTTTTTTTGCATTGCAGCGACTATATGAGTTAGGGCCTTTCTATATTAAGGTAACGATATGTATTATTAAAATTTGGATCTATACAGAGGGATCTCATTTTGAAGCATACAATACAATTTAGTTGTTTTTGTAATTTTTTTTTATTTTAATTAAGTGGTTTTTAATTGGGTATTTTTAATTTAATTTAATTGGGTATTTTTAATTTAATTTTTTATAAATTTTAACTTATTTTTTAATTTTACTATTTTATTTTGTTTATTTATTTTACTTTTAATATTCTAATTGTATCTTATTTCTTTAGTTCGTATTTTTTGTTATTTTTATTTTATTTCATTTATTTTTTGTTCTATTTTAGCTTATTTTTTAATTTTATTTAAATTTTTTTAAATTTAAATATCAATTTTTTTTAATTTTTCTAATTATTTCTGATCTTTAAATTTTTTCAAATTTTGTTGTTTATTTTGTTTCTTCTTATTTAATTTCATTTTAATTTATTGATTCAATATAATTTTTTATTTTTATTTTTCATGTATTAGCAACAATTTGTACTAATTTACTTCGTTTTTTAAAAAAGTTTGCCGCGCGAATAGCAAACCTGCATTTAAATATCTGCATACATACATATACACACATACCTAACCAATTATGCATGTACGCTGAATTCGCCGACAAGCTTTTTTAAAAACGAAGTAAATTAGTACAAATTGTTAGTAATTTTCATTAGAGTTTGAATAACTCCTTTCACTAAATGGCTTTTAGTAACTTTAACGAGACCTTAACTTATTTTATTTTATTCATTTTAGAGCAGTTTTGACAAAATTTTCTTGCTAAAAAATCTTTTGTTACACTACTTCATTTTATTCCTTTGATTGTACAGGTTAAATAAAAGCTTGTTTTTAAAAAAATATTTTTTTTTACATTATTTTATTTTATATTTAATTTACATACATTTAGTTTTATTTAGCATTATATAATTTTTTCATATTTTCATTTATATTGTTTTTCGTTTATTTTATTTTATTCTAATCATTTTATCTTATCTTTGATATTTTTTTCAATTTTTGTTTATTTTACTTCATATTATTTTTTCTAGTTTTATTTTTTTGTTTAATTTTCATTCATTTTATCTTTTTTATTTAGTATGTACTTTTTAATCTACTATTGAATATATTGTGGTTTGTATTTCTTTTATTTTTTATTTACAAAAATTTTTAATTTATTTTATTTGTATTCATTTTATCTGATTTTGTAACTTTTTTAAATTTTATTTATTTATTTTTTTAATATTCAATTTTAGTCGTTTTACCTCATTTTATATTTAATTTATTTAATTTAATTTTTGTTATTTTTTGTTTAAATTATTTCATTTTATTTTGTTTTAACTTATATGTTTTATTTAATTTAATTATTTTATATTTAAATTTATTTTATTATATTTTGTATTATTTTATTCATTTATGTTTTTATTGTTTATACAAATCCGAAAACTAATTAATATATAATTACATACCTTCAAAATATTTATGCTTGCATTACCACTTAATTTTTCTCCTCTCTTCCAGCACCTGCCGGCACATATCCAAAAGGTGTGCGTAGCGTTTTCAAGGATCTTATGCGTACGGATGGTCCTTTGGCGCTGTATCGTGGTGTTACACCGATTATGTTGCGTGCCTTCCCAGCAAATGCTGCCTGTTTCTTTGGCATCGAATTAGCCAATGATGCTTATGATGCGATCGCTGCATTATTTTAACTAAAAAACTTTCGCTAAAAGACTAATGAATTTTTTTTCTGAAGAACACCAAAATCCCAACAGTGCACTTATATATTTACGAAGTCGCGATAGTTTATTTTTTTATAATAGAAATTATTTTAATTATAAGCGATTATTATGTTCACATTGTTATTATAGTAGCACTAGTAGAAAACTAAACTTTTTTATGCCTAGAAAATTAAAAAGATGGGAAGAAAATATACAAATAC